CCTTTCCACCATGTACTTTTCCTTACACAGATACAAGGAGTTAGGCAAGCCAGCTCGAACAAAACAAGGCGTATTTCTTGTACTCCCTCCTTGGGTCAGGATGAGATCCTATTTCTGGCTTTGTAGGGCTGCAGGAAAACAGGGGGGTTCTTAATTCAAATTTCTCAAATTGGTCTCTCAGAGAAAGGGCTTAGTGGAGGAAAAAAAGATAAAATTTAAGAATATGGCTTCTGCTTGCTTGTTTAGAGTAAGCTTGTTCTGGTCTGATAGGTTCCTGAATTAAAGATGCTTTATATTAGAGGGTAGAGGGCCATTCAGCCTTCCTCAGCCAACCTTACCAGCCCCTCAGAATACAAGCTTTCTAGTCAATCTGGGAGACATAGCCTGTAGAGAAAACCCAGGCTTGCCCACCTCTTGAGAGTTGGAGTAGAGGGTAGGCAGAATGTGCAGAAGGTGCTTGTTGAATAAACCCCATAGCTTCCAGAGTGGTATTCATTGTCCCTGGGCTGGGAGTCCAGCCTGACTGGGGACAAGTACATCTCAGCTCTCGATCCCCAGTCCTCCAGCTGATACAAGCTATACTACCCCCAAGCCCTTTGCTTGCCAGCTTCTTCTACAAAGGAAGGAGTTACTGCAGACCCAAGGAGAGCTTCCTTCAATTTCAGTGTGTTGCAATTAACTAAGGAATCTAATTTTCACAAAAGACTGATTTATCAGTGATTCAGTGATGGGAACAGCTTAGCTGGGGCACTAATCTACTCTGCAGTCTAATATCATGGAGCCTCAGAAAACATAATCTCTTTTTAATGATGCCCATAAAAATGTGTACTTTGTTGTTTTTTTTAATGTGTACTTTGAAGAAAGTAACCAACTCCTGTCAGATTTATTTGTTTTCTCCCTAGGATGAAAAAATATTCTATGAAAAATATTGATAGGCTTCTTAGAGGGATACGTTTCTTATTTGCTGACGGTTTAGAAGAAATAATTTGGATTAAATGACCTTCTTTTATCTTTCTTTCTCTGTCTCTCACACACATACCACACACACACACACACACACACACACACACACACACCAACACATTTTTATATTCACTCCTGTCTTTGGGTTACTCTCTATAGCCTTAGCCCAGAATGGACTCTTGAACGTTTGAAAGGACCAGAGGGTGGCAGAGGTGAGCCATTTCCTTTGGCTGCTCTTAAAACTAATCAAGGTAAGTTGTAAACTAAGGTGAGAAGTTATTGGTATTATTATCTATCTGCTTCATTGATATTTCTCGAATTGGATTCCTAGGAATAGCTACAGTTTTGGAGGTGGGTGAAATCCCCATGTGCTCTATGCCCTATCTAGTTCTAGTTCCATGCATAAATACTGGTCTAACCATGTAGAGGCTTGAAAACCAGTAAGCCACTCATTACACCTTAACCAGTTTTCCCCCGACCATAGCATTTGGCGTGTGTAGTTCCAAGGTATGATATCCTTTGTGTACAGACTGAAGAGGAAATTAAGAAAATATTGTCCTATTTCTTGGAGCCACCTAAAAATTTTTTTGTGGCCTAAATGATCTGATTTGATTTTTTTATAATGATAAAATCAACACAATTTATTGCAAAATCCTCACTGTGTTATACATGAATGATAATGCCTCCTTCTCTTTGGGCATGCCACATTCTAATTCATGATGGTATGTTTCGCTTTACAATGATTGGTGTTCTTTTCCCGCCACTGCTCATCTTTGATAAAGTGGAGCAAAAGGAAATACAATTCCATAAATTTTCCAGAGAAGAAAGGCCACGAGGATCGTGTGGATCCACGTTCGTGTGCATATGTATATGTGCACATCTGTCTAGAGGGTTCAGGAATCAAAGTGACATTAAACATTTCATTGTGTCAACCTCCCATAGATCAGTTCAAGCACAAAGAACACTTAGGGCTAGAAGGGGTTAGAAGTTTATACCCCCCCTTGTTTCAGGTTCTGTGTCTCCCTCTCTCTCTGACCCTGTCCTGCTCACACTGTCTCTCTCTCTCTCTCTCAGAAATAAATAAAAACATTTAAAAAATTTTAAAAAAAAGTTTATATCCCTCACCCCATTGTGTGTGTAGGGAACTATCCAAGTTTCCCCAGCATGTCAGTGCTAGGCCTGATTCAGGTTCCTCTTTTCCCTGCTATGAGGCATTCACTCACATTTATTCTCCACGAGGAATACCAAATTTGAAGCAGTTTGAGCAAAGATTTCAGTGACATCCCATCTCCGTGTCTCAAAAAGATGACTCTATTGTCTGCTAGATGCTGTCAACTAGACCTGGCGGCTCCCAGTGGGGCCACTGGTTGAATGTGGTGGCAGAAGTTCAAGGACCCAGCAGAGGTTGGGCAAACGGCCCAGTGATGTCTTTGTTTCGGAGAGATTCCAGACACCTCCTACAAGGAGCCCAGTTTGAAATCTGCAGATATTGCTGTTCACGTGGAGACAAAGTCTTGGAACAGTTGGTACTGTCTTTAGTCCCTGATAGAGGCCTGACGCCGTTGCTGCCTGATCACCTATGTGTCAGACACTCTGAATTTAGTCCTGTCATGAGCAAACTAGGGGAAAGGGCTTCTTAATATTTTTTAATTAAAAAAAAAAAAAAGATCTTCCCCTTAAGTAAAGTGAGTAAAGCACTAGTAAAAGGGGCAAATAGCCTCTCCAGTGACTCGTGCACCACTGCAGGACTGAGGATTCCCTCCCTTAATAAAGTGAACGTCGTGCGGATAGCAGTTCAAGCACTGATATTCCAGTCTTGAACTGGTGGTACTTGTTCAAGTCCCTCTGTCTCCCTTTTCCCCCTTTAGACAGTTTGTGGTGGGGAAAAGGATAACAGGAGAGTCTTAGAAGAGAGATCCCTACCCACATGGCTCCCCTTCCTCAGGAGCCAGGTTCCATCCCACATCATCCAAGGCTAGAATACAATTTAACTTTCTGGTCTACACAGGCCCAAGAAAGGAAGGCAGTGGCTTATAGACCTTGAACCTGGATGTCAACAGTCTGATCATTCAAGCCTCAAACCAGATCCTTTTCTGGCTGCATAGTGCATTTTCTTTACCTAAACACTCTAGATCCCTGTCTTGATTTGCTTTTGGGGGGTGGGGGTGGGGGGCTCTAGAGGTATTAGCAATTGTGCCACAGGAAATGGGAAAAGTTTCTCCAGAGGAAGGGGCTTTAGAGAGAGTTAGACTCCCAATGTCTCCCTTCTCTCCTGCCCCATTGATATTTGAAAGACACATGGAAGACCCCAATTCACCGCTATACCCCACCATCTACCACCATCTATCACTTTGATTCAAAGCTAAAACACTAAAGTGCAAAGGAAGAAATGTAACCCAGGTTACTGGTCACAGACTGCAGCAGGGAGAGTGCCCCAGACAGCAGTGCCATTATTTCAGGCATGATGCTGTTGGCAGAGAGGACAGAGGTTACTGGAAGCAACTCCCGTCTTTAATTCTACGGTCCATGTTGCAGACATCCCACCCGTGAGCCTCTGTGTCCTTTACCAGGGTCCCCCACCCTTCACAGTTCATTTCCTACTCCTTCTCCTTTTTTTTTTTTTTCTTTTTCCTGGAGTGCCCTAGCTAGCCTGGGATAGTTCTGGCACTTTAGACTTAGAGGGAAAGAAATATTTGTCTAACTTGCCTAAATGTTAAAGCTAAGCAAAGCACCAAAGAGGAAAACAAAAAAAGACTTATAAAAATATAATGGGGTCATCTCCCCATGCTTCCCACATTCTTTGTGGCATATGAAATGTCAAAATATAATGAACAGACTCTCTAAACATCACCATCTCTTTCCACCCATATATATCTGAGCTGCGGCAGCCTCATTACTACCCTTTCACCTCGTAAAACTTCACTCTGTAGAACCACTTATATAAGAAGTCTGTTTCATCCCACTGACCCCCACCTTCCCAAACATGTACCCACTTGCAATTCCAAAGAGACTCTCCAAAAAAATAGACATTTGAAAAAAGTGCATGTTTATACTCAGTCTATCTGCATATTATTTCTTGAGATTACTTTTTTTCTTTTAACCATAAAAAAGATTGCATATTGGCTATATGATAAGAAAACCATGGCGGCCATTTCTGGGTGGCAGTGGAGGGGATGCGGGGTGGGTGTTGAAGCATAGAAGCGAGGGGGCTCAAGGAGGGGCAGGTGTGGTCCTTAGCCTTGAGACGAGAGGATTGAGGTGGAGTTGTCTTGATTCTCAATCCTTGGGCCTCTGAAATGGCCCATCTCCTTAGTCACTCCCTCTTCTCTCCACTTTGCCCCGTTTCCACTGCCCATGCCCAGGTCGCATAACCCTCTTGAAGCAGAGGTGGAATGGCTTTTTTGGCATGTGTCCACCCAGGCCAGTTTGAAGACAGGCTTGGCGTTTGGAGGGCCATGATATGGGACACACACCGGAGCAAAAGCTTATTTGTGACTGTTTCCACTCTGGGAAAAATTGTCCATCACTCCTGTGACTTGAAAAATTTAAGCAGTTACTAGGCTGATAGGTTAAGAAACAAATCTTTTGTTCTTGTGGTTTTGCATTAATATTAAGCATGAATATATATCATATATTACATTGCTTTCCTCCTGCTCTGCAGCAGACTGCACTCTCCTCCCAAATAGGAAAACTGCACAGCCCATGGACTCAAGTTTTTGAAAGCTGTTATTCCCCCACTCCCTAACCCCCACCCCCACCCCTCTCCTTCCTCCCAACCCCTCCACTCCTGTATTAGAAAAGCCCCTCCCACCCCCCACCCCAGCCCACCAGCCCACCCAAGGTTAAATAGATAGTGCCACATTCTAAGATTCATGCATCACTGCATTTTGCTATTGCACATTTTGCAGAGAAAGAGGGAGTTGTGTATGTGTGCCCCCTCCCGCTCTTCCCCTCCTCTTCCTTAGGCTCTCAGATTCCTGTGCTATTTCCATTCTGCCCTCTCCCAGCCTCCCCCCGCCAGCCCCATCCCAGACCCGTCACTGGTTGTGGACATCCTCCCTGCGGACAATCTTGTAGATGATCCAGTAGAACATGTTGAAGATGAGGAAGGCCATGGGGAAGCCAATGCGGGATATTTTGTCAATCTTCTTGGCCCTCTGGATGAAGAGTTTTCGCATCTCCTCCGGGGACTTGGACGGCGCGGGAGGGGGGTTGGTGGTGTTGTTGTTATTGGCGCCTTTGACTGAGATGCCATCCTTGGCCTGCAGACAGGCTGGGCCCATCCCATAGGCAGAGAAGTTGAAGCGGCCCTCCCCGGCCTCATCCTCCTGGAACAGATTCAGCATGGGGCTCTACTTAAAATAAGACAGGGGCTGGGCACCCTCCCTGCAAGGCACTCCCCTGAGGGCCAGGCCTCGCCCATCTGGTTCTCCCTGCCTCTTGGACTCTGCCATTCCAGCTTTCTGAAGGCTTTGAGGCTGGTTGGGGAGTTATGCCTTATAGAGGGGCGCCACTTGCTTGCTGAAACAGATACAAACCAGGGGATAGGAACGTGGCATAGCGTCCGGACACCTATGTCTTGGCTCTGTCACTTGCCGGTTGTGTGACCTGAGGCAAGTTACTTCTTTATATGAGTTCTCAGGGTTCTTTATTTCATATTTTCCTATAAGTGGGGGAAGAGTCACCCCGCTACATCAAAAGGTTCTTTTGGCCTTCAGAGATTGGAGATGAGCAGGTATCCTGAATGCTCTTAGGTTAGAAATCGAGGAGATAATTTGGAGCGATCCCCTGCTTTGCCTCTGTTGCCTCCTTGCCCTCTTGACCCACCCCATTCCCCAGGTGATGTTTGCTCCAGAGTGGGTTGGGTGGAGGGGGTGAATGGCCCAGGAGAGAGCAAGAGCCTCACTTCCTTTTCACAAACCGGGGAAGCCACAGCTCCTTTCTACCTCCATGTTCCCATATTCCTGGCAGTCGTCACCTCAGACATACCTCTGGATTAAGTAATTTTGAGCAATAACTTCATCAGTTGGCTCCAACTTACCTTACAGGCTTTTGACTCCCCTTACCTTCTGCTTTGCACACCTGTCAGTTTGCTGGCACTCTGCCAGTCATCCCTCATGCATTGCCCTCTCTCAGTCTTCCGCTCACCACCAACGTGCCTGCTGCCCTTATTCTTCCAATTTCTCCCTTTCCCATCTCATGGTGATCTTTTCCAGATCTGACCCAGGGAGACACTGTTGTCCACTTTCATCATGTCTAGCTTTGTTATCTTCCTGTGTGAGCTCTGTGGTGGCACTGAGAGTCTCATAGGAGCTGTTGATTGGGTGTGTGGCTCTGGGGAATTTTTATCAGCTCGCATTGCCCTCCTAGGTAGTGAGGGCTTTTAGAGAAGAAAGCCTATCTTTTGTTTGTTCCCATGCAGGACAGGGCTGGCAGAAAGCAGGGGACACAGCACAGGAGCCCCGTCTAGCTCTGCTCTTGCCACCTTGGTTGGGCCACCGTATGGGCTTGTTGTGACGACTTCCAGCCCAGTCTTCCCACCGCCTCCATTCTGGCCCTCCCAAGCCACCTGGGTTGTCATAACACAGATCTGATTGGTATCTTTTGCTTGAACTTTTTAATAGGCCGCCACTGGCTTCAGGATAATTAAAATCCTTGCATGGTAAACAAGGCTTTCGATGACCCGAACCCTTGCCTGCCTCTCCCGTCTCATCTCATCTTGCACCATTCTCTATCTGGCATTCTGCACACCAGTGACCCTGAGATACTTACATATATTCAAAAGTGTCATGCTCCTTCTTTTTAACTCTGGGTCTCTGCTCAAGTTGTTCTCTCTTCCTGGAACATACTTCTAATCCCACCCCTGCTTCTAATTCCTTCTTCACTGAACTAATGTCTTACCCAGAGCCTTCCTTGAGGGCAAGGATAGGCTAGGGGCCCCTGCCCTGTGCTCCATGAGCTCCCTGTACATTCCTCTCTTTTTTTAAAAGCTCTTGATTAATGTCTGTCTCTTCCATCAGACTCTAAGCTCCATGAAGGCAGAGCCTTATTCACATTCATTGCACCTTCAACATTGAACATAGGAACAGAGTTCCTGGCCATAAGCTCAAAAACTCAGCAAATATTTGAGGAAGTAAATGTTTACCAGTATATCTTCACTACTCCTAGCTTCCCTTTTTAAAGAACTTTTATTAAAAATTTTTAAACATTTATTTATTTTTGAGAGAGAGAGTACAAGCAGGGGAGGGGCAGAGAGAGAGGGAGACACAGAATCTGAAGCAGACTCCAGGCTCTGAGCTGTCAGCAGAGCCTGACGCGAGACTCAAACCCACAAACTATGAGATCATGACCTGAGCTCATAACCAATTGAGCCACCCAGGCGCCACCTCCCCTTTTTAAAACAATGGGGTTATATTCCTAGCACTGGGAGGATTTGAGATATGAAAAATGCTAAAGAAATCTTTGGCAAATGGATGCTGGTCCAACGCCCTCACTGCAGAAATGGGGAAAGGACATGAGTAGTGCCTAGCAAATAGATCTCAATAAATCTTTGTCTATGAGTAGGACAACTTCAGGGGGTTTGTGCCAGGGCCAAGGAAAGGATAGGGGAAGCTGGCCAAATTACTGGACCTTGTGTCTAGAAGGGATACCCAGTTCTATTGCTTATCAGCTTAAATCTGCCCTTGCTGCAGGATGGGGTGCTTGAAAATGTTTTCTCACTGGGCTCTAGTTATGCAGGGGAAGCACCAAATTAATTTTATATACAGCTTTGGGCACATTATTCTCTGCCTTCCTCATCAATTAAACATAGGAGTGGAGGTGTGGCCGGAGGCCCCATCTAGTTAGATGATCATCAATTTCACATTGTAGCCAGGAGAAAGGAAATTCCCTGGAAATGACTGGAGACAGGCTTGCTATTCGTGTTCTCCCCAGCAGATGGCAGGAAATGAAAGCTTGGGGATGGAGTGGGGGAAATCTAGAACTCAGGGAGGTTGGGAGTGTGCCTGCCCTGCCGGGTTCCTAATAATATGACTAATGAGGGTGGCCAGGGAATTTGAGGACCAGATGCTTTGTGCCAAACAAACGAAGTAACATGGGAGGATGGTGGGAGTTGAGGAGCCCGGCCAAGCTCACAGGCTCTGAGAAACTCAGGCATGGGGCTAGTTCCTTTTCACTCACCATCTAGGGCTGAAAAACCCCTCTGCAAACATCCGGCTGAAGGGAGGTTTCTGCAGCTCAGGCTTGTACACTGCCAATGTACAAGCCACATCCAGAGGGCTTTACTCCAGAGGAAGCACTGCTCTATGGTGAGCCCATTTCTGCATCCTTGTAGTTTCTGACATTTGAGTCAATTACAAAGTGCTTAGGAACAAGGTCACACTGATTCAACCACACAGAGGGGCCTCGCAGGAGAAATGTAAGTGAAGAACTGAGCCAGCACTGAAAAAAATCTCCGGTCAGAAGGGACTATGGCAAAGTGGAGAATGTGTTCCCTCCCTAACGGCATTTCCAGGGCCTCAGTGTGAGGTTGGATGTGATTGCAGTGGCATCAGAGGCTGTGATGTTTTGACTGAAGGTAGAAGTGTGATTTTTAAATGCTGGCACCTTATTCCAGACTTCTAAGACACTGCTCATGAAATTGAGGACAGTTGCATGTTGAATTTGATCTCTGGCTACTGGTTTTTGACCTCTGCCTTTGGATAAGTCTTAGTTCTTATTTGTCATCTAATAATACAGGGCTATTTTATCTGCTTTGGGATGGAACCCACTGACGGATAAGCAGCTGATGGTGTATGGTCAGTGTTTTGAGAAAAGCCATCGGACCTCCAGCATCTACCCTGCTTTTGCCACCAGAGCCTCTGTGATCCTAGTGACTTGCTCTTCCTCACTTTTGTCATTTGCATGGGAAAAGTGGACAAAATGCCCTCTAAGGCTCTTCTAGCACTAACAAACTGTGAGAGCAAGGAGGGAACTGAGCAGGGTTATCTGATCAAATCCAATAGTGGCTTTATTTACACTTCACCTGGCCCAAGAGAAAGTTTTGTTTTCCTCTAGTGTTCACAGCTGGTAAGGATTTGGAGAGAGTGGTGACAGTCTTGGGAGGTACTATAGGCCCACCATGTTACACATTTGCAGGGGACTCCATTTACATTTTAGTCTATGCAAATAGTGCCCCCTGGGGTTGTGCCATGCACAGTTTAGTGGCCTGGTGCTGGTCAAATATTTCAGACATAGTCTCCCCAAATAAGTGTCTCTTCAACAAATGTATTAACCCTCTTTTAGCAGAGGAAAATGCAAAAAGCAGCCAGTGGGGAAAAAAAGGAAAAATAATAAATTCCAAAGATAGTTGTGTTTGGTCAGTTCTTGCTTAGATTAGTGTAATAGCCAGGGGCTCAGTATCCAATGGGCAGTAAGGACTAAGGCTAGAGGTCTTTCAAGAAATCCTGTCTGGGGCGCCTGGGTGGCTCAGCCGGTTAAGTGTCTGACTCTTGATTTTGGCTCAGGTCCTGATCACACAGTCTGTGGGTTTGAGCCCCACATTGGGCTCTACACTGACTGTGTGGAGCCTGCTTGGGATTTTGTTTCCCTCTCTGCGCCTCCTCTGCTCATGCTCACTCTCTTTCTCAAAATAAATAAACTTAAAAAGAAAAAAAATTCTGTCTGACTTACTGTACCTAAGATAGTTTTCTCTTCTAATGCAGAGTTAAAGGGTGGTTATACTTTAACTCTCACAGACATCTTCTGTCTTGAAATGTCTACCTCCTGCCTATGGTAAACTGCTAGAAGTTAATTGAATCAGATTGCTTATGTTTAAGAAACATACTGATGGAAATCTGTGCATGCGTAATCATTTTATTCCCTGGTATTTGTGTGGCAGGAACAAAAACTTAAAGCTACTTTGTAGTCTGATTTAGTCTGATTTAATCCTCACCACAGTCCCCAATTGTGCCAATTTAGTCCATTTTACAGATGGAAGAAATGGGCCCAGAAAAAGGCTAGCTTGAAGTCACATACCAAACAGTGACAAAGAAACAGAGCCCTTTGCCACAGACCATTGTAGCTGGGTAGACAGCTATTTGAAGTAAGTCAGTCTAAAGCTTGGAGGGCCTTGGTGTGTGGTATGACCTGACAGCTCATTGTGTGTGGGTTCATGTTTGCCCTAATTTGTTGCTGGAAAAACTTCTTGGTTGGCTCTCTGAGTGGAAGGACTCCTCTTTGTTCTTTAGTTTATCCATTTGTCCATTTGTTCAATAAATGCCTATTGCATGTTCACTGTACGTCAGGCATTGTGTTAGGCCCCAGAGACCTAGCACTAAGCAAAAATAGACATGGTCTCCACCCTTATGGAGCTTATAATTCAGTGGAAGAAATACGCACAAAACAATCACATCACTGAATGCATAACTGTAAAGATAAAAGTTCAGAAGGAAAGAAACTAGTTCAATTAGAGCATGACCTTTGCTAGCTCCCACAGCATCCTTGTGCAGATTAGAAAAATGGCACCCCTCTTTTTAGACATATAAATTAGAATCCCTTCCTGTGACTGATACAGTCTATACTGAGGCAGGACTTAAAAGTGTCTTGTTGGCTAGGGGCCCGTGTAGGATACAGTCTGCACGGCCATACTTGACAGTATTGCATGAGAACTTCAATACAGGCCCTAGACTTTGACTCAGGTTTCAGGGACGATGTCTCAGCTGAGAACTGGAAAAAGAGCCCTTGGTTAATATTAAGAAAAGTGCACTGGGAGGGCATTCCCAGAGAGAACAAAACATTTAAAGTCCCATGTATGTGCTCGAGCAACTAGGGAAAAACTAGGGTGGTTGGTGCTCAGAGAAAAAAGGAAAAAGTGGTGTAAAGATGAAGCTGGAGAGAAAAGTAGGTTCTCTGATCTCCGTGGGAAAAGTCTTTTGGGGAAGTAGTCATAGACCAAGATGTGGAGCCAGTTTGCTCCCAGAGACTGCACACTCCACAGTGGCCTTTGCTGGTTGGAACACAGTCTCTGAGTTGGCGGAGGCTGGTGACTTTGCAGAGATGGCCTGCCAGGTAGTTCTTTATTCAGGCCCTCATAGAGCGAGAGAATCCACTTTGGGGGAGGATCTTGCTCGATGCCCCTTTCTTGGAAGTAGGAAGCAAAGGGCTGGTACCTGGACGCTCTACTCAAAGATCTTACCTTTTGTGGTGCAATTCCCTTCTGAAACCAAACCCTTGGAAACAATGTGGTCTTGCAGAAGACACCTGTAATTGTCTTTTAGCCTGCCAAGCTTCAAGGTCACAGCTGTTTATTATCTTAGCCCCATCAGGGTTTGTTCCATCAGTCCTGTCTTCAGGTATAACCTGATAATTCTATGGTGTTATTACGAATAGAAGAATAACTGCCCACAGACTCAGTCAAGGCATTATTATGGGAGGGGAAGTTATGACCTCCAGGAGTTTAATCCCTGTTCTATGTCTGCCTTACCCCCTGAGAAGGTTGGTCCAGCGAAACAACTATCATGAGACAAGGCTGCCTGAAACTCTTGTGTTTACCACCAGCTGTCCCTTCTTAGCTAGCGATCCAAAGGCCTACCTTGTGATGTCTTCGCTTCCTCCTGAATCGGAGCAGCTCTTTGTGCTGACGAGACACAAAGTTGACAGCGGCATACTCAAGCAGGGCTGAGAACACGAAGAGCAGGCACACTGCCATCCAAATGTCAATGGCTTTCACATAGGACACCTGGAGTGGGGGTGGGGATGAACACAGGGGAGTGAGGGCAGAGGAGAATGAAATATCTCTGCATTTCTGCTCCTCAATAACTCCATCATTACCCACGGCTATCCCCTTCCTAAGCTGGGATATCAGGAAGGTGCAGAGGCAAACAGAAGAAAAATGCATCAGGAAGACTGCATGGAACATTGGAGAAAATGGAATATGGTACCTAGGAGAGTACTAGAGAGAGGAGGATGGTGTGTTGAGCATCATCATCGAGTGAAACCGAATGTTGTGTTTAGCTAGGGGTGATAGGAACAGAATGGTGTACCTAACATTAAAAGTAAACAGAGGATGTTGGCAAAAGTGACAGGGTAAGATCTTCAAAAACACTCTCCGCTATAAAAGCAACAAGGACAACAGCAACAATGGCCAGAATCAACTTTCTCAGAAGCTCTATTAACCAAAGGCTAACGGCAATCTTGAAAGCATTTACTTAAAAAGTCAGCTGAATACCAGCCAAGAGCATAAACTTCATGGCATTAAAAAAAGAAAGCAGCTCCATTGAGATATAAGTCATATACCATACAATTCACACACTTAGAGTGTATATTTCAATAGTTTTTACTACATTCAAGATATGTGCAACCATCATCCTAGTCAATTTGGGAATGTTTTCAGCACCTCCAAAAGAAACCTAGTAACTCTTAGCCATCATTCTTTTCCCTATTCCCCCAAAACCCTCTTCCCCTGTCCTAAGCAACCATTAATCTACTTTCTGTTTCTATAGATTTCCCAATCCTGGGCATTTCACATGAATGGAATCATACACCATGTGGTCTTTTATGACTAGCTCCTTTTACTTAGCATAATGTTTTCAAGATTCATCCATGTTGTAGTATATTTCAATCTTTTTTTTTTTTTTATGGCCAAGTAATATTTCCTTGTATGGATATACCATGTTTTGTTGATCCAGTCATCAGTTGATGGACATTTGGATTGTCTCTACCTTTTGGCCATTATGAATAGTGCTGCTATAAACATCTATGTACAAGTTTTTGTGTGGACTTATGTGTTTATTTCTCTTGGGTCTTGTGGTTTTAACTTGCCATATTCCCATCTTCCTACTCCCAGTTCTGTGCTAGCCTTGAAAACCAACAGCCAGTGAAAATCCGTATTCAGGCAATCAGTCGATGGGGCAGAACAGAGTTAGAGCTTCTTTAAAGTCCCATTCCCAGAGAACTGTCATTATTTGACCTGTCCTGTGGTTCACTGAAAGACCTCACTCACTAGGCTGTCTTTTATTTGAGCTGCCTTGGAACTGGCCCAGTGTGAACAGCCTTTTCCCTGGGGGCATTTGTTGAAAAGAGTCAGTGGCAATTGTTGAACATCACATCAGCCTCAGGTAGCAGGTAACAGTTGAGGCAAATAATAGGTTGATCAAAAACTTAAAAGGAAAAATCTGGGAATGAGATGTCCACAGGGGCTTTAGAAAGCTCTGACATATATATGGGAATCTATGTGTATGCTCAGGCCTGTGTGGGTACTCAGGGAAGACCTGGGGAGGCCCCTTAGCTCAACTCTGGCTAACCTTGACACACTGAGCAAGCTGCAAGTGAAGGGTAAGGCAAAACTGTAAACTGCCTGGCTGAGTGATGAGGGTGTGTTCTAATACATATGTAGAGCCCCTAGGAAAAGGCCCGGAGATTTACAGGTTCCAGGCAATTAAGGAATTTTCTATCCAATTTTAGCTAATGGTCAAGCTAACTGAGCAGAGACTTCAGTGGCCCCACACAACAAGGAATACAGATGTTACAGAATTAGTTCACAAAAGTTCACAAACAAACAGCAACAACAAATCCTGAGGAAGGAGGAGAATCTGATTTCCAGAGATGCCACATCACATTATGTTAAGTGTGTAATTTTCAACCCTAAATTATAAGATATGCAAAGAAATAAAGGATGGCCTTGCAATGGACTAGATATTTGTATCCCATCTTCCCTTCATAGGTTGAAATCCTGATTCCAATGTGATGGTATTTGGTGGTGGGGCCTTTGGGAAGTGATTAGATCATAAGAGTGGAGCCCTCATGATGGGATTAGTGCCTTTACAAGAAGAGGCCAGATAGCTAGCTCTCTTTCCACCACGTGAGGATATAATAATAAGTTGGCAGTTTGCAACTAGAAGAAGGTTCTCACCAGAACCCTACCATGCTGGCACCTGACTTCCAGTTTTCAGAACTGAGAGAAATACATTTCTGTTACTTATAAGCCACCCAGTCTCTGGCACTTTGTTACAGCAGCTTGAATGGACTAAAACGGGTCCATCCATAGAAAAAAAGGCAGTTAAAAGAAGCTGCCCCTGGGGAAGCCCAAATGTTGGGCTTAATCAAAGCTTAAGTTATTTTAAGCATGTTCTAAGAGCTAAAGGAAACCTGTATAAACAACTAAAGAAAAGCATGAGAACAAAATCTCACCATATAGAGGATGAGATAGAAATAATAAAAAGAACAAAATAGAAATTCTGAAGTTGAAAATTAAATAGCTCAAATGAGGAGTTCACTAGAGAGAATAAACAGCATATCTGAGCAGACAAAAGAAAGAATCCATGAACTTGAGGTTATCTTGTCTGAGGGACAGAATGAAGAAGAATGAAAAGAGACTCAGAGACCTGTGGGGAACCATTAAGTACACTAACATATGTCTAATAAGTTGTGCCTGAAGGAGAGGAGAGAAAGAAGCAGAAAGAATATTTGAATTAATAGTTAAAATATTACCAAATTTGAAGAAAAACACTGACATATACATTTAAGAAGTTCATGAACTCCAAGCAAAATAAACTCAACGGGATCCATGGCTACACACTTTGCAATCAAACCGTTAGAAGACAAAGAATCTTGAAAGCCACAAGAGAGACGCAACTCATCACATACAAGAGATCCTAAATAAGAATAACAACTGATTTCTCATTAGATTGATTATATACTTCTAAGTTGGTGGGGGGGTGTCGCAGCTAGAGACCGTTAAAGCACAGGGACAAGACCTGTGGGCAGAAAGAGCTGCACTGTGGTTCTGAGTGAGATTTCTCATAAAAAACCAAGCAGCCTAGGAGGCAGTGGAAGGACCTAAGTAAGTGAGGGGACATCTGTGTTTATAGACTGGAAGACTTGACATCGTTAAGATGGCAATACTCTCCAAATTATCTACAGACTCAGTGCACTTTCATTCTCAGTTCCTTTTTTATTGCTGTTGCAGAAATTGACCGACTGAACTTAAAATTCATATTCAGGTTCAAATGGAAATGCAAGAGATCCAGAATAGCCAAACCAATCTTTAAAAAGGATAAAGTTGAAGGACTCATACTTCCCAATTTTTAAAAAAATTCTTTAATGTTTATTTTTTGAGGGGGGAGGCAGAGAAAGAGGGAGACACAGAATCCAAAGCAGGCTCCAGGCTGTCAACACAGAGCCCCATGTGGGAGTAGAACTCGTGAACTGCAAGATTATGACCTGAGTCAAGTCGGACTCTTAACCAACTGAACCTCTCAGGTGCCCCTACACTTCCCAGTTTTAAAACTTACTACAAAGCAATGGTAATCAACTGTGTGGTACTGGCATAAGGATAAATATATACAGATCAATGGAACACAACTGAGAGTCCAGAAATAAACCCATGTATTTATGGTCAATTGATTTTTGACAAGGATGTAAATTCAGTGGAGGGAGAAAGATAGTCTTCTCAACACATGGTGCTGCAAAAACTGGGTATCTGCATGAAAAAGAGGGATAGCCCTCCCTCATACCATATGCAAAAATCAAAATGGATTAAAACATAAATTTAGGGTTAAACTAAAAGCTCTTAGAAAAAAACCATAGATACAAATCTTTGTGACTTTAGATTAGGCATTAGTTTCTTAAATGTGATTGCAAAGGCCAAACAACAAAAGAAAAAATAGATAAATTTTACTTCATCAAAATTAAAAACTTTTGTGTATAATGGACCATATCAGTAAGTGAACAGATAACCCCAAAACTAGGAGAAAATATTTGCAAATCACATATTTGATAAGGGATTAAAATCCACAATGCACAAAGAACTACTACAACTCAACAACAAAAAGAAATACCTCGATTATAAAGTGGGCAAAACATTTGAATAGACATTTCTCCTAAGATCTAGAAAAGGCCAATAAGCACATGAAAAGATGCTGAACATTATTAGTCATTAGGAAAATGCAAACCAATACTACAGTGAGATACTACTTCATATCCACTAAGATGTCTATAGTCAAAAGACAGATGATAACAAGCATTGGTGAGGAAGTGGAGAAATTGGAACCCTGGAGAGATTATCAAATGGTGTAGCCACTTAGGAAAATAGCTTGGCAGTTCCTAAAAAAGTTAAGCATATAGCTACCATATGATCCACCAATCCTACTAATAGGTATTCAGCCTGTGAGAGTTGAAAACATTTGTCCCCACAAAACTTGTACACAGATGTTCATAGTAGCATTATTTATAATAGCCAAAAAATGGAAATAACCCAAACATCCCTCAACCGAAAAATAGATAAGCAACATGTGATAGACCCATACAAAGGAAATATTATTCAGCCACTAAAGGGAATGAAATACTGATATAATGTACAACACAGATGGATCTTGAAAATATTATGCTAAGTGAAAGTGCACATTTTACTTATTCCACTTATATGAAATGTCTAGAAGAAGCAAGTTCATAGAAGTATAAAGTATAGTAGTATTTGTCAGAGGCTGGTCACAGGGGAGAATAAAGAATACTATTGATGAGTATGGGGGTTTCTTTCTGGGGTGTTGAAAATATTCTAGAATTAGATAGTGGGGAGGGTATACAACTTTGTGAATATATGAATTGCCACTGTATTTTATGCTTTAAAAAAAGTGAATGGGGGTATAATGTGAAGTTGAATGTAACTATAATAGCAAAAGGAGTCAGATACTGAGCCTGCTGTTAACAATGAGTGGAACAGCATGTTGAATCTAGTGTAAATTATAACTGAAGGACAATGTGGCATCAACTATTAATAGACAGTGGAACAGAATATTGAGTCTGACATAAGGAAAAGAAAACAAGTTTATCTGCTGTTACAGTTGCACAGAGCACAGTGTGTTGTCAGGTGGTAATAGTAAATGGAGTTTGGTTTCAAGCATTTATGGTGAATCCAGCAGAATGCAAAGTCTAGTGTTAATAGTGCAAAGGGCAGATTATGGAGCTTTGTGTAAGAGTCAATAGAGGAGAGAGTGGTGTCTAGTGTGAATGGCAAACAAAGCAGAATGTCCTTTCTCACATTAAAAATTAGTGGAGCAGTAAATGTGATAAAAAACAAACAAAAAAAACAGTAGGGACAATGTTCTAGATTAAAAGAGAAACCATAAAGAAAATGAATCTTTATTGGATCCTTGATTGGATCCTTCACAATATATACTGATGATGTTTTTTGATAACCGGAAAAATTTAAATAAAGTTTTTGTATTCGATGACACGGTGGAATTATTTTCAATTCAATAATTATTGATAGAAAATTGATAAGTATATATAATATAATTGATATAAATACAATTATTATTGAATTAATGTTAATTTTTTTAGATGTGACAAATATTGTGATCCTTATTCCTTATTTAGAGATAGATTGTCATGATGTCTGTAATCATCATATGATTCGGCGAAGATTGTGTGTGTACCTACCTACTTACCTACCTACCTGCCTACCCATCTACCTACCTACCTACCTATCTGTATATAAAGAGAGCTAAAGTAAATGTGGCAAGATGATAACACCTGGAATCCAGGTGAAGGGTATTCAAGTGATCATTGCATATTCTTCCAACTTTTCTATATCAAAACAGAATGCTAAGTGAGCCCTTAATTGGAAATGGTGCAGAATGTTGCACTTAGCATAAGGCTTAAGGGAGCCAAATATGGAGTCTGGCATTAACGGTAGAGCTGAATGTTGTGTCTGCTGTTGAGTGATTAAGGCAGGTTGTGGTGCAAATGACAGTAGTGAACATAGTAGAATGCAGTACCTAGGCATTAAAAGAGAGGAAAGCAGAATGAGGCATCAAGCATTCGTAGTGAAGGCAGCAGAATGTTGTACCTCACGTATGGGTGAATGGAGGAGTATGTGGTGCCTGGCATTAATAGTAAATGAAGCAGAACATTATGTCTAGTGTTAAAAGTGAATTAAGCAGAATGTGAGGTCTGGTGTTAACAGTGAAAGGAACAGAATGTTGCATTTATTGTAAGGGTGACTGGAGAAGAATTAGTGTCTGGTGTCAGTAATGAATGAAGTGGAATGCCGTGTCTGGTGTTAGAAGAATGGAGCAGAATGTGTATCTGGCTTTAACAGAGAATGGAGTGAAATGCTGTGTCTAGTGTTAATAGTGAACGGAGCAGACTATGGTTCAAGTATGAACAGTGAAAGTGACAGAATGTGACGTTGAACATTAGTAATGTAAGAAAAGATTGACATATGTGCAGAAAAGTGTTAATGTATAATTTTTAAGATGAGGGTGCTATCCTTTAAAGGACCTGCTTGCAAGGTTGGCCCTTGGTTGATATCTGGGAACTTGGATTTGGGGGATGTTCCCACTTCCTTTAACTGATAAGGGGACCCTGCTGTGTGTAGAATGTCTGTACAGACAATATGGTTTATGCTGAACATTTTCTTTCCTCCTGGGAGTTTGGAATTTTGGTATGTGCTAGACAGAGCATGGGACCAGCACCCAATAAAAACCAATGATACAGAATCTTAAAAGAATCTCAAGACAATTTCTCTACCTCTCTGGAGAGAAACATCTCACACGCATGACTGCTTTTGTATTGTTGGGGTAAGAGTGTACTTCGTGTGGTCCCTCTCTTGGGAGGGAGAAAACAAGGAAGCTTGCACATGGATTCCTCCAGACTCTGCCTGTATCTTTTCCTTTTATCACCTAGCTTGTGTCCTTAATACAGCTCTGTAAGAAATCTTAGTTGTGAGTACAGTGATATGTGGAGTCCTGGGAGTCGTATTAAATCTCTGAACATACAGGTGGTCTTGGAGACACCCGACACAAAGTATCTACTGTTAATGGTGAGAGAAGCGGGATGTTGTATATAGCGCTAAAAGCGAATGGAGGAGGAGGTGGAGTTGAGTGTTAATAGTATAAATGAAGCAGGATGTGTGTGCAATGTTGGTAGGGAATGGAGCAAAGCATGGTGTCTGGCAACTGTATACAACATAATGTTCATCTGGAAGAGGGTTTTGCTGGATCCGAATGCTGGATCCTAGTTTGAGTTCAAACCCCAACTCATTCCTGTGGAGATGGACCATGGAGTGACATACCATTACCTTTACTCCTTTATAATACTAAAATCTCCACCCCAGGGGTAGCGCAAGCCTCATTCACATAATATAATAGACGTATTGGCGTGTTTCCTTAAGGCACATGCGCAACCTTAAGGCCTGCCTCTACATAGAATGATGAGGCTCCCATTTCTATACACATTCCAACCCTAATTAAAAGGAACCCATTCACCCTTGCTCAGGGATTCATGGCTTTGGGAAGTTATTCCCCATGATTTCCTTATTTGCTGCAAATAAAGTTTACTCTGTGCAACAACTCCAAAACAAAAGCAAACCCAGAATGCTGGATCCTGCCAAGTGTAGTAGATAAGTAGTGACTAATTCCTTGTGCTCTCTTTTATCTCCAGCAAGGTAGGGAGATGAGTGTCCTTCTTTGTCCAGGTGTTCTGTGCTCTTGGGCAGTAGGACTTACCTTGGGCAGGGATGCTCGGGAGCCAGAGCTCTGGGTGGTCATGGTGAGCACAGTGGTGATGCCCAGGCCCACACGGGCTGGCGCGGCATCCATGTTGATCCAGAAGGAAATCCATGAAAGGATGACAATGAGCAGGCTGGGAATGTACATCTGGATCAGGTAGTAGCCCATCTGTCGCTCCAGGTGGAACCGGGCCTCAATGCAGGTGAATTTCCCTGTGAGAAATTATAGTGAGAAGGCAAGGTAGCCTGGTGGGCAGGAACAAGATTTTGAGGTCAAAACAACCTCAGCTGGAGTCCTGGGGCAGCCTCACACTAATCGTGTTTTCAGGCAAGTGACTGAATCTCTCTGTGTCTCAGTTTCCTCATCTGTGGTAAATTAGGGATGATGATAATGATGATGATGGTGGTGGTGGTGGAGGTAATGGTGATGATGGTACTTACCTCATATGGTTACTGTGATGACAAAATGAGATGATGCCTATAAAGAACTTAGCACAGTTCTCACATCATTAATGCTAAGGAATGTCAGTTGCCATCATCCTCATCAGCCCTATTGTGCCGCTAAGAGTGGGCCTAAGTGGACCATTCTTTTTTTTTTTATGTTAATTTTTATTTATTTTGAGAGAGAGAGAGGGGGGAGGGGGAGCAGAGGGAGAGGGAGAGAGAATCCCAAGCAGGCTCTACGTAAACAGTGCAGCTGAAAATGGGGCTCCATCTCACTAACTGTGAGATCATGACCTGAACCAAAATCAAGAGTTGGATGCTCAACCGACTGAGTCACCCAGGTGCCCCCTCTGACTTCCTCTTATAAAACCTTTCTTTCCTTCCTTCTCTCTCAGACCAGAAATTCTCCTTAACCTACAGGGAAAAGTTCAACCTTTTTAGTCTATTCTTCACAGACACGCCCTGGCCTGTTTTTCCATCCTTCTTGTCTTTCTTCACACTAATCATGACTCTCTCCATTCTATCCCTTGCCTTGAGCATGTCCTGCACTTTGACCCTTTTGAGCTTTGGCTCCTGCTCATCCCTCTGCCTGGAGTGCCCAGACTCCTTCCCACAAGCAGCCAAAGCAAGCACCCTGCTCCTCAGTGATGCTTTGAATGTGGTCTGCCTTAGGCTCAATGCCCCTCACCCCCACCCAACCCAAGTTCCTTCAGTTCAGTTCTGTTCACATGGTTATCAGGGCCTTCAGGGCATAATATGGTGAGTGTATAGGCACGTCGGTCTCTGTTCTCTGCACTGGGGTGTGGGCAGCTGGTCTCCTCCCCATCTGTGCATCTCTGGAACTGAGACAGAGCCAGTCCCATGGTGGGGTTCTCAGCTCCAGTCTATTGCAGCACGGTTATTAGGTGATTCCATGGGGCTCCCTGCACTGTCTGCTCCATGTGGGCAGGACCTTATCAGCCTTTCCCACTTGTATCCACAGGGCCTAGCATAAACACAGAACTCTGCTCTCACTTCAATAGGAACAGTGAAGAGCAAATCAGTTAGTGAATGAGAAAATGCTGTGTAAATGGTGATGGGCTGTGGTATGTGAGAGTCAGTGTGATTATGTGATTCATGAGAAGTCACTACTCTCATGGCTGCTAATGGGAGTACTATTGCCTCTCTGAGGCTCAGTGTGCCCAGGGATCAAGAGAGTATCTCTGGAGTTCTGAGACATCTTGGAGGTTACACAGGAAGGGCGGCAGCTGTCCTAGATAGACCAGAGCTCATGCTGCCTGCCCTTGCTGTGGGCCTTCTACTTGTACCAGAGCACACAGTGATTTCTCTCAACACCCCTGCTTCACCTCCTCCTCTCCCTGTGTCTGTCATCAGCCTATTTCATGCCTCCAGTCTCCTCAGCTGGGCTCACCCAGCAGCCTCCCACCCAGCCCTCCAGCTGGCATACTAACTGACTGTATTCCACTGTGCCTCCATGAGCTCCTTCCCAGCCTGAGGCAGGGCAGGTAAGGCCAGTCTTGGTTTGACTTCAGTTCATTCTTGTGTCTGATCTTCCAACAAAGGCTGTGCTACGCCTGGGAGACAGAGAGCTCAGCAAAACAGTGGCGGTTTCTTCGCCCTCTTGCAGCTCACAGTCTAGGGTGCCCTTTCCAACTGTACTTGTTGACTAACCTCAGTGCCACCTCTCAGTTCCCTCCTGCTGAGGTCTGTGTACTTGTGCTCTGTCAGAAATAACGGTTCCCCTGTGACAGACTCTGCTATGTCCTCCTAATATCAGCTCCTTCCTTCTGCCTTAGGGATAGGATTCACTTTGTCCAGGCATGCTGCTACCTGGGATGGAGACTGTATCTCCCTGACTCACTTGCAATGAAGTCACAAGCTTCAGTGACTTGCCCCAGGACCTCCAGCAAGAAAGGGTCAGAGGCACTTTTTTGGTTTCAAAGACTTCTCTTAACCACGAGGTAATAAACACAGAGCTGTGTCCATCAGGAATGCCTCTTCATTGAATGGATGTTTGAAATGACCTCTGGCCCTGGTTGGGGGGTGGGACCTGAGGAGGGATGTCCTCGCACCTACCTGTGTTGTAATGCTTCGTGCAGTACCTCAAGTCCTTCTCCTCTTTCAGGATAAACTGGGGTAGTGTTAGTCCATCTGCCACCTGCACAGCTCCTTGTTCCTGCCACTCGAAGATCAGGTCATTCATGGTGTAGCCAACTGGAGCGGGGGATCAGAAGAAGGAGCAGTCACCACCCAGAAGCACTTATTTGAAGCACGTCAGAGTTGGTTTGGGTTGGAGACTAAGAGGCATCGGGCACTAGATGGAACTCATGAGACCGTATTGTCTGGCTACCACTCGCTCCCAGCCTGCTTGCAACAAAAGAGGTTAAAACTGGTTTAATTATTTCTAGCCCACTGCCCTTCCACCTCACTTCCTACCCCTCCCGCCATCCGAGACTGGCTTCTCCTTTTGCACCCAACACTTACCCCCATGGTCATATTCAGCTCACATCTGCTATTTCACCCACACACTGTCCTTACAAGCTCCCTCTTTTCCTCTGGGGAATTACTGTATAGAATACTGTGGTAGGACGATCAGCTGAGGCCCAAGGTGTGAGTTAATGACTCAACTAGATCAATCAGATGCTCTGTGCCAGGACTTTGATGCTTGAGTCAAGTGACAAAAGGTTCGGAGGCAGCAGGTGCCAATTCCCCTCAGAGGTGGTGCTCCAAGGGGCTGCCGTGTTAGTTCCCGCTCCTAAATCCTCTGCCCCGCTTCCTGTGTTTTCAGCTTCTCTTTCAAATCCACGAGGAACCCCTATGTCCTTTCATTTCACTTCATCATTTAAATTAGATTTGTTTCTGACTGCAGTCAAAGAAGGCAGCTATCTCCTCTGGGAGGTTCTCTGTGCTCCCCCCCCCCCCCCCCCCCACACACATAAAGCCTTCTCCAGTACCCTTCCTCTTTCCCAACCAGGAGGAAGCGCTCTTTCTGCCATGAGGCCACAGCACTTGTACTTCTCGCAACACGCTTACTGCTTGCCGCCCTGTGTTAGAGTTGTTTGTGCAGCTAGTTGTCTATCTTCTCTATGAGTTCAGGGGCCGTGGCTTATTCAAGCTCTTCCTGCTACGTTCCTGGAGAGCATGCTCACAAGGGACACGAAACAGTGCCTCTTGGGAAAATATTGCTGGCTTCAAAGCTGGGCCTCAGCCAGACAATGGAAGGGGGGGTTATATTTTTAATGCATTTTCTAAAGCAAAGCCCCTCATCTGGTATTTTGGGCTAGTGCAGTAATCCCCTGGGGCCCAGCAGTTAGGAGCAGCTGTATGGGAATTTCTGCTGGTCCCATGGGTAAAGAGGAGTCTGGTTCTTTCTAAAGCCCTCAGGCAAGGGACTCACAGCTTTCCAGTTGCATGATACACGTCTGGACATCCATGGGGAAATTCTTTAAGTCCATGGGGCAGGCCAGTGTCAGGGTGATTCTGGGAAGAGAAAAGAGTTGGATGATAGTAGAGCCACAGACCAGGGAAGCTGTGCCTTTGTGCTAGTTATTACCAGAAAATCAGTTATCTCGGACAACTCAAGGAGGTCAGGGAACTAGTGTGTATTGAAATAATACATGTATATTTCTACTTTCCAGCTTTGGAGTGGAGGCTCAGAAAGAGACAGTAGGTGGCCTAAAGTCACACAGTCAGTAGAATTCCTGGGTTTCTTTGGAGACTGTCTGGCTTCTAGATATCTGCTTTTAGCAAGTTGCCTGAAGACCTGGGGGCCAGGGGCTGTCCCTGATCCCTACTCTTCTGTAGAGTCTGGATTTTAAGTTGAGTAGCCTCAGGCCTCAGGTTTCCCAGGTGCATCTGGCAGGTGCTTCAAGTGGTTCTTTGCTGCCTCCCTTCATACACTGGACTTATCAAAAGTCATTTCATTTTTTTAAATGTTTTATTCATTTCTGAGAGAGAGAAAGAGACAGCATGAGCAGGGGAGGGTCAGAGAGAGAGGGAGGTACAGAATCTGAACCAGGCTCCAGGCTCTGAGCTAGCTGTCAGCATAGAGCTGGACACGGGGCTCGAACCCACGAACTGTGAGATCATGACCTGAGCCGAAGTCAGACACTTAACCGACTGAGCCACTCAGGCGCCCCTCAAAGTCATTTCAAAGAGGTCTTTCTGGGTGTCCAAACAGAGCTGGCTCTCACACCTGTGGGCTCTTGCTGGGATCAGTTGGGAAGTGGTGGGTGCCCCCAGGCTCCTGGGATAGCTGTTTATTTTGGGTTGTTGGACCCTTGCAGAGGCTCAGCCTTAGAACCAGAGGGAGTCCCCCTAACAGAGCTGAAGTCTGCTGCTCAGGCTAGGATGCAAGGCTTCAGCTTAAAAGGCTGTGCCAACATCTGAGCACCTGCTGCAGAGAACAGAGAAGAAAGGCTCTCAGAGCCCAAAGAGCCTTAGATCTTCAGGCCAACTCCCTCATTTGACAGGTGAGAAAACTGAGGTACAGAGAAGAATTGGTAGGCATTCATATGAGCAAGGTCACACAGCAAGCATTGGCTCAAAGGCAGGATTCAAAACTATGTCTCCTGGCCATTGGATTCTGAGCTCATGTGTTTGCTTCTCAACACTGCTAGCCCGAAAGGCACCTCACTGGCATGGTCTAGTGACACTTAGCTGCTGGCGCCTTAGCTGCAGATGGTGAGCACAGGGCCCTGTGTTCGCTTCCTCCCTCCAGCTCACTCCCAACTGCTCTGGATTTGGGTCCCATTTAAGCACAAGGTAAGAAGCAAGAGGGGAGAAAGGGAGGGGAGATGAAGGGGAAGTAGAGGGTGGGGGAGGGAGGGGGAAGGTGAAGAGAAAGTGAACACAGTTGAATTTCTGCAGATAAAAGCTCCAAAGTGGGGCAGCTGTCACACTAGGTTAATTTCCTGAAGTTGAATGACCTTGGGAACATCAGTTTCTGCTGATTTGTCCTTCTGTCATGCTACGTGGGGCTTCGCTTTGTAGAGATACAAAACTAGCCTGGCAGCAGCAGAATCCAAGCAGGGTAACCTCTCCTGCCCCAGCCAGGCAGGACACTGGTGGCCATTGTGAGCCCATCACCCTTCCATCTGGATGTGCACTGGCAGGTTGGGCTCTGGGGCGAGGAAGGCCACATTAGCTTCTGGCTCTGCCCAGCCATCCCCTCCTTGGTGCCTCCTTTCCCTGCTGAGGTTCTTAAGTCCCCCCTCCTACCTGGCCTGCTCTCAGGAGATGCCCCAAGTCCAGTCACATCTGAGGATTAGGATGTATGCAGACTCCCCTAGAGTCCTGGACATTTAAAGCTCATCTGCTAATGGAAACAGGAAAATTTCTTTCCCCAAAGAACTGGAAGGGGAGGAGGAGTCATTTAGGGCCAGGGTCCCTTTTAAGCTCTTTGAAGTAAAAACATATTCATTCATTCATCAAATGAGTACCTGTAGAATACCCTGCACTGTTCTAGGCTCTGAGCATGCATCAGATCCATGCTAACAGATTAGAATCTAGGCTAAAGGGGAGGAGGAGTCATTTAGGGCCAGGGTCCCTTTTAAGCTCTTTGAAGTAAAAACATATTCATTCATTCATCAAATGAGTACCTATAGAATACCCTGCACTGTTCTAGGCTCTGAGCATGCATCAGATCCATGCTAACAGATTAGAATCTAGGCTGTGCTACTAGGTGGCTGTGGGAACTTTGGCAAATGACCTAAACTTTCAGATCGTTATTTGTCCAATCTTCAAAGTGGGCATAATAGAAACTATTTCATGGGGTTGTTAGGAGGGTTGCAAGTAATTTATGTAAAATACCCAACTTAATGAATAAATTCCTAGTGGATGCCATGTATGTTAGAATCTAACATGGACATTGGTCATTTTCTCCATGGATCAGGGGAAGAAATTGGGAATGAGGTGGGGAGAGTTGGCAGGAGACTCTGAAAGCTTGCCCCTAGCCAGTGTCTGCAGGGTACCTCTCAGCTGGGAAGGGAGGCCTAGTTTCCTAGACTCAGTGCAAGGTATGGAGGATAGGAAGTATTCATAGAAGGGATGGAGCAGCCCTGGCTTATATCTGTGAGTAGCACCACTCACCTATTTTGTTGAATATTGAAGTTGCTATGACTTTTCAGGCTTTGTGCCTTTGCTCCTGTATTTTTTTTAATTGTGATAAGAACATTTAACATGAGATCTAACCTTTTAACAAATGTTTATGTGTACAATGCAGTATTGTTAACTCTAGGCATAACGTAGAACAGCAGCTTTCTAGAACGTCTTCACCTTGAGTAACTGAACCGCCCTGCTGCTGGGCACTGTCTTTGAATACTCTTTTCCCTTTTTGTTTTATTGAAATGGTGAGTGAACTTAGGGGGCCTAACCTTAACCCTCCTCCCTCTCCTTAAGATGCTTCCTTGGTTCCCTTGGTTAAGGAACCACTCACTCCTAGGATTTCCCAAGGTATTGTATTCTCACTCGCTGAGTGTCATTTACAAAAAGCTGGCTGAAGTGCTGGGTTGCCAGGGCCTGTTAATGCTTGGTTGGCCCACTTCTTAGTATCTGCTCCCAGAAGCAATGGGGCAAGGTATGTTCTGAGGAAGATGGTGGGGGCAGACCTGTGTGGAACTCACCTGATGCTGTAGAGGACATTTCCATTCCGGGAGATCCTCAGCAGTTTGTTGTCTGTGGTGATCTCATGGAAGTGGGCCCCCTTCTCGTTGGCGAAGAACAGGTCAGGTTTCCAGATGGAATCCAACATGGATGGGTCCAGGTCCAGAGAGTCATCCGGGTACTCATTGTAGGCCAGCCGGGGGTCGTTCCACTGCTGTCGCAGGAAGATGTTGACCCTATAGTCCTATAGCCAGGAGACGAGGAGGCAGAGTTAGGGTCAGGCCCTGGGGTGTCAAATCTTGGAGGCCCCCCGTTACTTTCGTTCAGCACTCCCCAAAGCTCCTTCTGGAGAGTTATGAGTGTGGTTGCATCTAATGTGGGGTGAGACATAAAGTCCGTGCGTCAGGAAAAAGTCAGGGGAGTCATCCCTAAAAATCCTCTTAAAGTAAGTACATTTAGCTCTGAACTGAGATTATTTAAATGTTTTATTTTGAAAAATTAAAAAAAAAATGAAGTTCCAACTGGGGCACCTGGGTGGCTCAGTAGGTTATGCATCTGACTCATGATCTCCATTCAGGTCTTGATCTCAGAGTCATGAATTCAGACCCCATGTTGGGCTCCATGCTCGGTGTGGAGCCTACTTAAAAAATAAAAATAAATAAAAATAAAGTTCCAACTGATGTAATAAACACCTGTTTTCATCCTGTTGACATTTTGTCATGTTTGTTTCATTTTTTTTTTAGACAAGTGAAATAGTACATTACTGATAAAGTTGAAGTCTCCCTTTTATTATTGACATCATCAGGGCAGTAATTCCCAGGCACACTGAGGTTTGAGAGTCCCTGCTCTAGATAGATTGAAGCAGCAAAAGGAAAGGATAAAAGCTGAGCCTGAGCATTCATACTATTCTTCCTAAAGAGAACAATTAATTCCCAAGCTGCAAAGGAAGGATGGGTGAATTCAGTGGTGTTCCTGCTGGTCATAGGCTTCACATTGCTCTGTTTCAATACCAGCCTTCTGCAACCTTCTATCATATATGTTGATTTATTTCTTTGAGGAGAGTTTTCTTTAAAAAAATTTTTTTTAGCTTAAGCTCTACACCCAACGTGAGGCTTGAACTCACAACCCTGAGATCAAGAGTTGCCTGCTCTGACTGACCCAGCCACCCCTGGGGAGAGTTAATAGATGTTGTGGAGTTATATCTTACTGGGTTCTAAACTCAGTGCTTAGTTAAATGCTTCTCTGATGGGACTGCAGTGTAGTTACTTAGCTGGAAAAAAAAAGTCACGATCAAACCAATGAAAGAAATGTTGGACTAGACCAAATGCAACTAATTTTTTATTGTAAGACTTCTCAGAGACCTTAATATGCTAACTATTTGTATGTGCCTCCCAGAGGGGAATAGAATATACAATATTTCCCTGATTTGTTTTGGCCACAGAACTCTGGTATGTGCATGATGCTTGTCTCCTACAAACCTATGTGAAGAAATGCCCTCCTAGTCAAAACTCCCTCCCCCCCCCCACCTTTGTGGTGGTGGTTGTTCTCCAGATGGAGAAAATGAAGTCCAGAGAGTTAAGACGGACCCGGTATCGCTCTGAAAAGGCAGGTCAGAGCTGATTCCGGAGCGCAAGAGTCCTGACTCCTAGCCGAGGATTTGTTCAATTGGTTCTCGAGGAGCTGAAAGAGTCCATTCAGCTCGCCTTCACAGCCTGAGGAGCAGTTAGTGGGATGTAGGTCTCCGTGCCAGGGAAGTGGGTAATGAAATTAAGAAATAGTTTAACGAAGAAGACGCTTTCAGTTTTGTTAGGGAGGCATTGTAAAGCTGGGATCTATGAATTTATGACACCGCAAGTAGAATGTGGGGTGTGTTTGTGCTTTCCAGGAAGAAGAACATGGCCCTCTATGTTGGATTCTCAAAAAGGCCTATAGTTCCCTAAAAGATTAATGACTTCAGTTCAAGTCCAACTCTGAATGCTCTCCTTCAAGGAATAGTCTCCACGCAGGAGCACCTGCTGCTGCTTTCCCTGAAGGGGCTGGATAAATGAATCGTGCTACGTTTTCTTTTCCTAATCACTCTGGATCTGTCATCAGCAGGTGTGGACTAAAGCAATCAACCCTCCTCCCCACCCTCACCCTCACCCCTGCCAGCAACCCCTCACAGCACATGCCTCATTCTGTTCTCCTTCAAAAATATCAATAGCTTCATAAAATGTGCCAAGGTATTTTATAGGATTGTTCTATAATTTAATTAAAGCCTCTCCCTCCAGCCCTATAGAAAATGACATTTGGGGGGCGCCTGGGTGGCTTAGTCGGTTGAGCGTCCGACTTTCGCTTAGGTCATGATCTCGCGGTTCGTGGGTTCGAGCCCCGCGTCGGGCTCTGTGCTGACTGCCAGCTCAGAGCCTGGAGCCTGTTTCAGAGTCTGTGTCTCCCTCTCTCTCTGACCCTCCCCTGCTCACGCTGTCTCTCTCTCTCTCTCTCTCTCTCTCTCTCCTAGAAATAAATAAAAAAAACATTAATAAAAAAAAAAAAGAAAATGACATTTGGTCTTATAATCTCATGTCTTATAAGTCCCATGGTGGAGGGAGAACTCTAGGCCAGACGTGGATGTTGATACTTTGTTTTTCCTGCTGACAGTAACGGACGGCACTCAACCTGGCCCGATCTGGTCAGGGAATTAGAACTAGCCTCTCTTTCTCTCTTGGATTTTATGTGAAGTATGTACGCGTGTGTGTTTGTGTGCATGTGTGTTTGTGTGCAAGGGGGCACTGGACAAGTGACGTCAGAGTAAACAAGACTATGAGTGGTTGGGTGGCAAAAGCCTTCAGTCCCCAAACCTCAGCTGCACTTTCGATGTGCTTGCCAGTGACACATCACGCCTGTTTACGTGGCTGGAAGGAAGAAAGCAAAGTGGCGTTTCTTAAAATGGTCTGTTAGGCACCAGGCAAGCTGTTCTAGATACTGTCACGTAGACTTAATCCTCAGGAAACCCCTGCGTACCAGACATTCAAGTTCCTCTAGTAAGGGGAAGGAAACTGAGGTTTGTGAAACTTGTCCAAGGCTCAGAGCTAGTAAGTGACAGATGGGCTCTGAATTCACGTCAGCCCAACTCTTTGTTGCGTCCCACAGGCGAGGTTGCCAGCTCATGCCAGAGACACTCCTCTGTCATCCTCACTGCCTCAGTAAATTCTGCCTGCTCCGCTTCAGCACTCTCTCCTGCAGGAGTCTTGATGCCTCCAGGCTTTCGCAATTTCTTCCTTTTCTGATCTCCTTAGCAAATCGGAATCACCAGAAACATCTCACTTAGCACTGTGTGTGTCTTATCTTCTCAACTTGACCAGCAGGAATTTGAAAGGATGAACCTGATCTTACATTTCTCCTGCACCATCCCACCTACCCACCAGATCAATGCACCCACAAGCTACCCAATACCCAAGAGGAGGAGGCAAAGCCAGAAACAGTTAGAGTAGGAAAAACTTTCCTCATTTTATAGTGGAGAGACCGAGACTCAGACAGGGAAGGCATTTTTCTAAGGTCACGTTGGATTCAGTAAAGCACCTGTGATTGGAACTTGAATTTGCTTCTCTAGACCTCAGTGTTAAGAAGAGTTAGGATAGGGGAGCCTGGGTGGCTCAGTCAGTTAAGCATCTGACTCATGATTTTGGTTCAGGTCATTTGTCTCATGGTTTTGTGGGTTCGGGCCCCTGTCGGGCTGTGTGCTGACAGCATGTAGCCTGCTTAGGATTCTCTCCCCTTCTCTCTCTGCCCCTCCCCCACTTGCACTGTCTCTCTCTCTGAAAAAAAAAAGTAGGATAGATAGTCTTTAAAAACTCTTCCAAATCAAATACTAATAGTTATTAGTTTTATTTTTCCAGTAACATTTAAGTGAGCATCTATTAAGTACTAGGCCCAGTTCTAGGCCCTGGAGAATGTACCGAGAACAAGAAAGACATTCTTGCAGTCACAGAGTCTAAGTGTAATGTTTACACTGCACCCAGACAAGGGCTCTGATGGGGGTGAAGTACAGGGCGCCAGGGAGATGTAGAAGACAGGCCCTCCAGCCAGACTTAGGGCTGGTGATCAGGGAAGGCTCCAGAAGAAGCGATATTTAAGGTGAGGCCAAATAAGGTTAAGCCAAACAGGGAAAGCATCCTGGGCAGTAGGAACTGCTTACTGAGAGGCCTTGAGGCAAAGGATGGGAGTGGCACTTTGGAAAGAACAGCCAGTAGATGGGTCAAGAGGAAGAACAAACTCTCCTGAGGGGTATGGACTTCATCCTGACAGTCATGTGGAGTCTTTGAAGAATTTTAAGCAGGGGAGGACATTATGACATATGCATTTTATTACTGATATTTTATTTTATTTAAAATTTTTTAAAAAATATTTATTTCTGAGAGAGAGAGAGACAGCATGAGCAGGGGAGGGTCAGAGAGAGAGGGACACACAGACTCTGAAACAGGCTCCAGGCTCTGAGCTGGTAGTCAGCACAGAGCCCGACGCGGGGCTCGAACCCACAAACTGTGAGATCATGACCTGAGCTGAAGCCGGACACTTAACCGACTGAGCCACCCAGGCACCCCATTATTACTGATATTTTAAAACATATGTTAGTTTTTCTCATAACAAAAGTAAATGCATGTTGATTGTAAAAAAAAAAAGATAAAGGTACATCACTTAAAAGAAGGAAAACAAAACAAGAGCTGTGGGATCTCATGATAAAATGACCAATGGAAAGGAAACGCTGGAGACCTGGAGAATGTTTCTGGCGTCTGCGGGCAGCTTTACTCCAGCCAGCAGCCCCCGCTCCTCCCCTCAGCAGCTGCTACCCAAACAAGCTGTTGCCATCGATTTTCTCCTCCTTAGTTGGTAAACAGCAGTGGGAAATGCAGTTCAGAAGAGATCAATGTAATTGGTGTAATAGGCTGAAAGCTAGATGCTGTTTTGCTTACTTAGCCCGGCAATCACACTGGTCAGTGTTTGACATGCTTGGGGTCTCTGTTCAGGTTCGGAGGCCAGAGGAGCAATATTTGACTTCTCCACCCTGGACCCTCAGGTTCCACCTCCGGTAGTTGGCTTCCAGGTCTCAAGCTCTCAAGGCTGGCCCGGCTACGGCTGGGGTGGGAAGGATTTCCTGAGCTCTCACTCCATAGTCTCCAGCATCAACTCACCCATCCTGTCCCCGAGAGACACTGATGGTCTGTTTTCAGGTAACAGGGCAACTGCCTTGCTTATAAGACCAAG